GGCGGCTGTTTTCCACAATTTTAACTTTGTATCTTTTCAGCTTCCTCTGAACCACTTGACAGATTTCAAGCAAATTTGGAATGTATATTGCTTTGGGGATAGGCCGACTTTTATTTATTCTGTAGGGGCGGAAAAGGGTTCCTTGAAAGAGAACATGTAGACGTTTTTGCACCTTTTCGACTTCTCATAACTGGGTGTATATCAACCATATCTCGAAGGGATGTTTTTGGGATGTTGCATATAACATTAGCTGTTAACACAATATGGGCGGGGCATTTACACACTATTGCGACTTCGTTTCCTAAAGATGAGTTCCATAGTTATAAAGGATACGACCGTTAGTCTGTTATTCACAAACACTAGAGGCAATAATAATCAATATATCTTTTTCAAATTGACAAGCACTAAACATATGCCACCATTAAGTGTTCTGTAAAAACAAGGTCGATAACTCCTACGCCCAAATACTGCAAAAAAGACTGTTCTCCCTTTGACACCCTGGCAACCGTGTTCTATCATGTCAAGCAAAACTCCAATAATCGTTATTTTATTATTAAATACTGCACACCAAATGAAGAGCACTAATAGTTGTATTGTAAAAACTGGTTATTATGAACTTAGTTTGAAATGTATTGCGCCTTTGCTAGAACTTTGCTGACTGCAATTATTAACCTTTAATTTTGATATATGTCGACTGTAGAGAGAGAGAGAGAGATGAGGTTTAACGTCCAATCGACACAAACTAGGTCATTTCGGGACTTACACATGGTTCAATTTAATTTCCATAATTCGCTTGCGCGTAGGGGTCTTTAGCAGTGGGAAGTAACCGGAGGACCCGGGGAAAACCCACGAGGTTGGTCAGGGACTGTCTGTTGAAAGGACGCGTCCTGTAGTAATAACTGTTACAGCTATACCCTTTTGTTACGATCTGATCTGATCTTTTTGACATTTTTATAAGGCTTTTAGGTTTATAGGCTATTGCTGTGGAGGGGGGGGGGGGTATGGTTTGTTGTTTGGTAATCTATGTTTATATTCAGAGAAAGAAAAACATTTAACGAAAATAAAGCTTGAGCAAAGAATAAAGCGCCAATACAATGCTTAGTTCATTCTTTTACAGCCATGATTTATGGTTATGTGTTCAATTCTCGGACATCTTACTCTTCTTCGAATTCCAGCTGTCGAAGGTTATATTACGTTGACGTTCTCTCATCCGAAGGACTGGGTACACTTTTCTTGTCAGCCTCGCAGACACCAGCCATGGCAAATGAATTTATGGAATCGAACCCGGGCTATTCTACTACCTGGCCGCGAAATAAATCATATCCAATATATCCATATCGGCATTCGGCGCTTTTCGACGGATGAAAAACACCACCAACCTACTCATCACCACAGTAAGACACAAAATAAAGTGCAACACAAAGAGCACACATTACAGCGACCCCCAAGCGTCATTCAGTCTGCTGAAGATAAAAACTAGATATCAATTTCCTGTTCATCCTGTTCTGCCGTGAATTAATAGTCAATGCTTTGGGTTTTCTTTCAATAGTTCATATTCATAATGCAATTCAATGTAAAGAAACAATATGGGTTGCCAGTGAACGAAACATAAGCCCACAGCAGCTAAGTCGCATGATTAGTTCACAAAAATTGTAACATATTTATTCTCCTGTGGGAAATGGGGCATTCAAAAGACAATAAATTAAACTGGTCGAGTTATCGGAATTCGTTGAAAATGCGTTATATCATGAACATAAACACTGTAATTATTAGAATTGTTTTACTTCGACCGGAGTTTATCTTAATAATAAAAGATAGGTACACTAAGCCTAGAGATAAATACGCAGTAATGTCTCGACAGCAGCTTGTCCGAAAGGAAAACTTGGATCATGTTGACCAAATTTGATATTTCGGCAAAGGGGGGTAACTCTAGAATTGGAATTCACAGACTGCCTAATATCGACAGGGTTCGTCCTCAAATGGACCTAATGTGTTACGTCGTAGTTGAAAAGAAACGTACAAAACGACAGCCTCTGTCGCCTTCACAAGGTTTTCGGCAAGGATTATTTTTCGATGGCGTTTATATCCTCCCCCGATCCCAATGCCTCAGAACAAATTTAAATAATATCAGTTACAAACTGCAGGCTCTGTCACGTTCATATGGTTTTCGGACAACGGGAAATAACTATATGGTACGAAAGGTCATGGAACGCAAAATTGATAGGGTTTGTCCTCTCATGACCACAATGTTTTACACCAAATTTGAAATAATCCGTCATAAACTGTAGCTCTTATCGCTTTCACAAGCCAGTTGTTGACGAAAGGACCACCGGACATTGAAATGTCGGCGCATAAAGTATATATAAGAAACATCATGCTGTATAACAACCCTGGAAGCAATGAAAGCACTGAAATTTAATAGGATTTATGTCTTGTTAAAAATTAAACCGATCGCGCGTAATAAATGTAGTCTGAATGGAGTTTACAAGACATTGCCAAATATGGACCAGCGCTGAGGTAATATACCCGCATATTACAGATTGTGCGTTTTATCGTATGATTGTTTCAAAGAACGTACAAGGGCCCCATCGTACTCTAACTGGAAATCGGTTGTACCAATCTTTAATACATGTTTTGATGATGAAATAGAACTGTAATAATAGTTGTTGGTACAATTATTGATATATACAGTATATAAACAACACAATGATTAGATGGTGGCCTGGTAATTGACCAGTACAATAAAATCACATGGGAGATAAATGTGTAAATATTTACATAGAAAATCTATTTTCTTTGACCTTGACTGCTACAAATAGACAAATGATTGAAGACTAAATCGCCTGCCAATTGCAGAATCGTGTCTCCAGTGTTCAATGAAATATCTTTGTACGTGTGCTCATTCCCGATGTTGAATTGAAAAGAAAATCAATCTGTATTTTATTTTATATTTGATGTTAACTATATTTTGTTATATTTAAAAGTAAGTAGGTCTTGTCCGGGAACAAATCTGACCAGGAATAGTGCCTAATCGTTCGGAAGAGACTGAAAACCAAGGTCCTGTGTACACATTGGCATACAGTTAAAAGAGCCCTAGCCGCTGCCCGGGAACACTTTCACTCATAGGAACACAAAATGGCGTGTGCCCATCCCTTTTAGGCCATTTGGTGCATAAATTAATGTAGGACGTTAAACCCCATTTCATTTTTTTTCATCTGTGTTATATCTATGTATTTAAAACAAATAGCATTTAGAAAGCTTACATACAAAGGAAGTCAAAAGGCTTTAACTGAGTAAACTGTGCCTCTAATGCTGTGCTTCAACAGATGATTGTTGATTGTTGTCCTTTGAAAACATTTTCGTGTCATAAATAATAGATATGATCATTGATCATTAAAATCTTGTTCACTGAACCTTAATGTACTGAATTCATGCCTATAGATTCACTGTAAAATGTTTACAATCCTTGCCTTTTGTATAATTAGTGATATTTCACTAAAAAAAAAAAAAAAAAAAAAAAAAACCTATACACGCCAATCGATGCTTGAAGTGGCGAACAAGCGAAATTCTAACATCGTAGTTGAGAGCAAACATGAAAATGGCAGCAAGATCTACGGTTTAGACAGTCTTATAGATTTTATATATATATTCTTAGACAGGTTATTGTAGTGGTAGGTAACTAATAGTGATATAAGACAATGGGACATTTGTAAATAACCGTTCATTACAATTTATAACCCACAGAAAATACTCAAATTTACAATCTACTATGTCTTTATGGGAGTCGTGTGTCGGCTATGGCGTTTTATTCATCCGCCCTCTCCAAAACAAAGCACAAAAACATCCCGATACCACTTCTCACCTATTTACTATTCTTTAGGCTATAGAGTTTGTTCTAAGTTTGCATTGCTACAATGTAAACAGTTAGTTCTTATCATCAAATTAATCATCTGCGCTAAAACCCAGTTATACACAGAATTATTAATAATCAATATTCACGAACTGTTTATAAAACGTATTTTATGCTCAGAAATTCCATTTACAATGCGCATTATCTCAGCAACGCTGGAGTACCGTTTCTATTCACGATATCACACTAAGGAAGTAATCTCTTCCAAATACTTGAGGAAGTTTTGATAAGAAATTTCGTACATTAATTCGGATATCAATGAAGTATCATTCTGGAAGATCTAGCTGAAATCGCCATGTGTAAAAAATATAAATTTACCAGATAACCAACGAAAATGCGCACCGGTAGCTTTGTAAAGAGGAGTAGCGAGAACACCATAGCATGATGCTCATACAAAAAAATAAGTAACGTCCAGCTCAAAATCTAATATGGAATATATATGTTGTCGGTGGTATATAAAAACATATGCTTCGTTGCGAATTGAGCTATTTGAGGCGGCGTAGCTAGGATATCATTGCATGATGCTCAGACAAATCAAAGAAGTAACGGCCAGCCCCAAAACTGATATGGTATGTGTAAATGAGCTGTAAATAAGTAGGGGTGAGCGGGGCTATTCCGCCCTAGGGGCAAGTCCGCAGCCCATTCATATCTCGCGCCTAGAGCATGATGACGCAACCGCCGCCAAATTGATTGGTCACCTGACCGATACAATTGTTTTACATAAATTACATGAGAAAATACTTGTCGAATTTGTGCAGTAAATTTCATTTTTGACAAGGTCTGAATTTAGTGTTTAATTGTTAACACATGCCTGGGGTTGATAACCAATGTTTTATATGTGAAGTATGATGGGGTAATGACCTTCAATAGGCCACGTTTTTCAATTCGATTCATGACCTCCACAAGACAAAATCACGTGTTATGTATAAAAAGTCCTGTCGGGGTGCGAATTTGCCCTTCGTGGGTGCGAACGTGCCCCATACCATAACGGTATTGAAAATCACCATATTATTTGTATGCATATCTGATTACTGGTGCGTAAAACTTAATAATAACCTAAGATACTTAGATCTGCATTTGATTTTTTCAGAATTTAAAACGATCGAGCGAAACCATGGTACGCAAATACAAGAGGAAACGAGCTGGGGTCACGGCAGGAGAGATCAAACGGCAGGCCTTAGAACATTATAACAGATTCAATGAATGATTGCCCTTCCACGATATCTACATCTGCTAACTCTGCTACGCCTTCTGCATCTGTTAACGAGCGTGAATCATTGTCACCTACAAAAAGTTCATTAAATACTACCAGAATAGATACTACATTGAAACTGTATCGAGAAGGTGGATATATTTGTAATATTGTTTTAGTTTCATTGAATAATTAAATAACTGGTCGGTGGTATATAATAAAAACACATTTGCTTCGTTACGTGGTATATAATAAAAACACATTTGCTTCGTTACGAATGGAGAATCTACAAGCTAATCTTAACCTTTTCAGAGCGTTTAGAAGGTTGGGCTTTAGAACCTGTCCATTCGAAATACCCTAGTTAAGGTATATGCATTGCTAGAAATATGTCGTAGACAGATTCGAAAGATAAACCCAAACTCCGTGACCTTGTGACCACAATATTATATATCATATAACATAAAATATAGGCTCTCAAAAATAGATGAAGATATTTCAGTTTGGAAAACTGTTGTGCCAGTTGTGCTGTTCGTTAATTAATAGTCGTAAACAATTTATTATTATGGGCTTAACTGTTTTTGTTACCAGATCATTGCAAACATTCTACAGGGCTTAATGTCAGCTTCCACGGACAGTATTACTTCTAAATAAAATATAGTTCCATCGACCCTAAAGGGTCATAAAATCCCAAAATTGTAATAACATTTGGACTGGAACGTATCAAATCGATGGTCGGTCCAATAGTAAAGTATCAGGTGTTCCATAAAATAAGCATACTCTGCCCCAGAGCTGTTTCAGAACAGTTTTAAAACCCTAAAAACATTTGTAACTTTTTGTAATGAGGTAGAAAGATGTAATTTGGCGTACTGGTTACTGCCTGGAAAATTATCTTTAAAGTGTAAGCGTTTCTGTTATACATTGGAATTCTATTAACTTTATGTCATACTGCCTTCCCGCCATCATTTCATGCGATAACGATTATGTTGTTAATTTGTCACCTGGGAAAAAATCCATAGAAACTAACATGTGATAAAAGACTCGTCTAACCTACATGACCTAGAACTAATTTTGTTCCAAATATACATTTAATAATAAACACAAAATAAGTCGGATGGCCAGAATAGAACATTCAGATAGTGGTTATGAAATGAGTTCTAAAAAAAGATTACCTAGCAAATGTACGCTATAAGATTTGACCATGAACCTAATGGACCCGTGACACTATTGCGTATGGGAGGAACTTACGAGTTGCGTATGAAAATTAATAAAATAATTTTCATACGCAATGCCCTTGTATATATGCATAATTGTTCGTATATTTACTGTATTGAATCTATGAATAGCGTACGATGAAGTTTCTCGACCAACGCCGGGATCGAACAGGGGACTGCCAGGTTAGCGAACCAACGTCTTACTCACTGAGTCACCGTGACCCCCAATGCTATAACAATTGTAACTCCCCCTAAAGAAAGCTTCTGGTGGAAATATACTCGTTGTCTAGTGCTATATTTACTGAAAATATGTAGAAATGAATGAAAAAAGTTATCACGGGGCATTGGGTTATACCGCTAAAGATTATAACCCTTGTACATCCACTCTGTACACGCACTAATATTATATTTTGCTATTTCATTGAATTTGATTCAAGTAGCTTGAAGTTGCTTATAACTTCTGACTTAGAAATAAAAACATACATAATAATGGTGATTTAAGTCTTTTATAATGACAGCAAATATTCATATTTATTGAGTCTAGAATTTAAAATTCCCACTGGAAATTTCTAAACTGATGTAACAGTCCGTGTAATGAATTAATTTACAAATGGGCTTTAAGTCACCCTACTTGTATCCAAAACCGGTATTAGAAATAGATTTAACTGACAGGTTCTAATGAATGTAAAGACAAGAACAGTCGGTTTAATTAATGATTTATTGTCTTTCTGGGCCGTGATAAAGTAGAAGTTACAGGTCAAGCCAACACAGGAATGGTTAGATAATCAATTGCTATTTGTAAATACATCATTTCACTTCATTTGAAATTTCAAATCAATCTCTGGTGTTTATATGGTATTTAAGGAAGTCTGCGAACAAACTGATAACTACAGGGATGTCCCTCTTCTCATTACAAGAACCGTAAATAACTCGGCTCATTTCCTTTCCATGATGAATTATAAAAGGAAGTCTTTCGGGAACAAAATCTCAGTTCATTGTTGTTTTTAAATAATTGAAATAAATTAATTTGAATTTGACTAAAGGCCCTGTCCAATACGCAGTTGTTAGAATGCCTGCGCTTATTCGATTCACATCTGGACACAGCTTGCCAAATATTCCTTCTTCGTCACCCACGATTTTCTTTCACCGGTATGTATGTTGCCAGAACACATGGGAAGTATATTAAAAAGGCTTTTTGGTTATACCTGAAGTTTCACCCCTATATGTCTGTGTGTGACAAGGCTGTGACTGTTATGCTTTAATTTTGAAAATATGAAGACTAAATTCTGAGAAAATATGTATTAAAAAAAAGTTTGGAGAAAAATTGTGATTTTACTGCAAATTTTTAAATTTTCAGTTTTTATTTAATTTCTAACAGTAAGAAAAGTATGAATAAGCCCCAGAAAGCACAGATAAAGTGAACAGTATTGTAATTTCACCAAATTTTGTCTAAAAATCAAGAATATTTACAGAAAATCTCCAGATTCCCCCCAATTTCGATGTAGAAATTAATCCTTACATGACTTCTCAAATGAGTCAAAATGTCTAAACTTGACCTTTTTTTCTTTGCTAATATAACTTAGATGCCATCTATAAGTTTGTCAGGTTTAGAAATAGCTGTAACGTTCCTAAATAAAATTGAACATTGGTAACACTGAGTTAATAATGTACAGCAGACGGGTTTGTACAAAATGATCCAAACAGGGGTTGGCCCAATTTTACCACTATTTTACCCAGAACAAGCATTTTTTTCTTCTTTGAAACATTAAATTCTTGCATTTTCTTCATGTAGAAAGCAATATTCCAGTCTTTCTATACATTTTTCACTCCGCCATTCCGTTAAAACAGGCTATAAATGCCCCACCCCACCCTTTTTATTGATCTGTTTTGAGAGATTTAATTGCATCTGTGTTGACATTTAAATGAAAGTAATTTGAATTTGTTGTTGAAGTACGACTAGGAATGTTATTTTTCACCAATAAATAGTTATTTTGTACATTTCAAGGATTTCTAACCCTTTTTTTTGTTAATGTCAAACTTAGAACGCCGAGACTTTCAGGTCTATGAGACCACATCCAGTTATAAAACTAGTGTAGATTTGTAAATGTTAGCTTAATGTTCAATATTTTCTTATCAAAATCTAGGATTTGTGGTGGTTGCATTTATGATACTTATAGAACAGTAAAATGTTAAGTTTGCTCCTTTTTAGGCCTCCTTCAATGTCAACTCGGTCATAACTACTTTTTTGACTTAATTTTTTTTGGAATTGATGTAAATTTCCAGACATCTTGCTTCAGCACAAGAATTGCAATACAGATGTGTATGATGCCTCTGAGCTTTGAGATGTTGAAAACATTGAAATATTACCAAATTTATGAAAATTGTGTATTCTGCCACCCTTTTGTTAGAGAGGGATGGTCATAGACCAAATATGGCATTTGCTTTCTTTCATCAAGGCCTATTTTTAACCATAATTTATATTTATTGTACATATTTTAGTTTATATGTACATATGTTAGCCAGAGATGGTAAAACATGGCTGTTAGGCATATTCCTTTCGTAATGTTAGTTATGCATTCAAAGATTAGATTGATTCAGTCAGTGACATGTTTAGGGGGTGGGGATACATGTTTCAGTATAATTCTTTAATATTACAATCAATGCAACTGGTTTGTGATTTTTCTGTTCGGATATCGTCAAAGGTTTCTGAAAATATATTTCTCGCCAGTTAGGCTATCTAAAAAGTGGAAAATTATTGTTTTTTTTAAAGATGCTACATGTAAATTTTGTACATTTTTCATGACATGACAAAAAAAAAAAAAAAAAAAAAATTATATTTTTTAAAAAAATACCAGATTATGATTGTTTTCTGTGTAATTTGTTTGTAACTTGTCTATTCATTTTCACAGAACTCAAATACTGCTTTTAATAAAAAAGATTTTTAAATTTTAGCACAAAAGACCCATGGACCGGAGATACACCGCTGTACATAAAGCAGCATTGTATACTTAAAGGGCCATCATTTTTGTAGTTATTCTTTGATTTTGATTTTCTTTCACCGGCATGTAACCAGAACACGTGGGAAGCATATAAAAAAGGTCCATTTGGTGACACAGCTCACCAAATATTCCTACGCCGTCACCTTAGTCTTTCTCACCCTTTCATTTTTCTCCCCTTAGTATGGCGATTTTTGTTGACTTTTTGGTGTAGATTCGAAGAAAAAAGGTTTGAAAATACATTTTCTGCCATTCTTTTGGTAAATAGTCATGATTTTGAGGCGGAAGGATACAAGAGTTGAGAGGTTGAATGAAATGTAGGGCCGATAATTGCACGTTTACATGTCTCTACTTCCAGCTTGTGTATCTCAAGTTTTTCATGAAAAACCTCATACTGCTTTTGGGCAAGAGTTTGCCACTTGTTGCTCCATCTGTGGTAGAAAGTGTTCTACCCAACGAAAAATTGGGAAAAAATTAGAGCCGGTTTAAGAGACGAGAATTAACATTAAAGTCAATGGGGAAATCATTAGTGATCTGTGACCATCTACTTGAAAACTTAATGACAGTGGGTTAGGATTTATCTTTTCTTTCATATCGATGACCTTCTCATTGAAAAAAAAAATATGGACTGTGTTTATTGTTTCTATGTTGTTTGTTTATGTGTGTTTTAATCCATTGATGTTTTTGTTTTCTATATTATAATTATATGTTATCCTAAATCATTATGCGAGGAGACAACTGTTTCAAGGGATCATGTAACGGTGAAACCCAGCAATATCGATATAAAATAGTCTGATGTTGTAGCTGGCAAGAATGAAATCTCCAAGCAGCTATAAATCAGATGTATCATTAAATAAAATGTAGGCTTGGGTTTTGGCAAGGGGTCGTGAACAGGAAAA